ATTATCTTCTGTGTCTGTGTTAATTGGTTTCCCTTTTCTTTGTTGAAGAGGGTCTGTGCAGTCCTTCTGCCTAGTCCGCCATCTTGCCAGAACTCTATTGGTCGATTCTTATATCAAAAGAAAATTGTCAAAGATAAGAGGTTGGAGACATTTGTAATTCTATTCAATTTTAAAATTGTTTAATAAAGGAGACAGATTCAAAACTTCAGGCTCTCCAGTTCACAAGAAAAAAATTGATGTATCTAGAAAGAAAGCATAAACTATAGATTCAAGAGCAGCAAGGAATTGGGGTCACAGCTACCAGATCTTGCAGCAGATATGCCCCAACATCAAGGCATCCTCTTTTGAGGATAAAACAATACATTTAGTCTCTAAACTGGAATTAGAGCAGTTTAGATACAGTGATTAGAGCAAACCACCAATTCAGATAATATATTCCTTTTTAATAAGTAATCTAAAACTAAAGCCAAGGAGCTCTAGTAGCATAGTGCCTAAGGCACTACTGCTACTAGAAGGTTGGTGGTTCAAATCAAGCAGCCACTCCTCAGAAGGAAGGTTGAGCAACTACTTCTGTGGTGATACCGCTTCGGAAACCCAAGGAGGGGTCGCTATGAGTTGGGTCTGACTCGATGGCACATAACAACAACAACAAAAATAAGGCCAATTGAAATTGATATCTTTAAAGCATTTAGATTAATTACACAGATCTATTATGGTTTATTAGTGGACGTTAGGTAATTCAAGATGTATTCCAAACCTCATAGGGCAAGTATTACTTTGTTCTGCCCTAAATGTTGCTTTACTGTTTTTCTCCCAATTCAGGTGTTGTTATTCTAACCACTTTCTTCCAAAAGTTTTACATCCCACCTTTACTGTCTCTTGTTTTATAATGATGATAATGATGATGATAAACTGTTATTAACTGAGCACCTCATATCAGATATTGAGATATACACTCTCATATATTTTTTGTTCTTGTGTGTCATTGAGTTGATTATGACTCATCAAAACTCTAAAGGATAGAGTAGAACTGCCCCATACAGCTTCTAAGGCTATAATCTTCAGGCAAGGAGACTGCCACATCTTTCTCCTGTGTAACAGTTGGTGGCTTTGAATTGGTGACATTTTCATTAATAGTCAAGCCTTTAACCACTGTGTTACCAGAAACACACACACATACCACATTTAGTCTTTGCAAAATCCCACAGGATGGTACAATTGTCTCCATTTTACAAGTGAGAAAATTGAAGCTCAGAGGAATTTGATAATTTATCCAGGGTCACACAGGAAGGAATGTGTGATGCAGGACACTAATTCTATTGCTATGTGCTAATTTGCTCAAGTATATTTTGCTCTTATTTATTCTTAAAAGAGAGACATGAAAGTACTGGTGCCTGCCCAATTAAAAGCTAAGCAATTAAACTAGCAATACATAGATGAAGTTCCAGGTAGATGGATCCCCCAATGCACTGGTCTTCTGACAGAATAATTTCTCTCTACCTAGCAGGGAACATTTGTTTTTGCACAGCCTTTAGATCTATTTCACAAAGCTCTTCCACAGTAACCTGAAGGTTTGGAGCTGATTCAAGAATTGGCTATGCTTTTTGATTCTTGAAAATACAATTTTCTTTTAAACCCACCTATCTAATCCACTTACATCTATTGATTTTACACTTCAATCAGTGCAGCAACTATTCCAAAGGAGTCCTCCCCAAACAGAAATCATTACTATTTGAGAGAAGACAATGAGGAAACATTTAATTTATAGCAACAGATTTTGAAAAAAGCTATTTCTGAGACTTTTATTATATATGGTTTTCTGTCTAAAGTTGCCTTTATGCTGATGACTCAAATGTTCTGTCGGCTAAAGTTTTAAGACTCCATCTCTGATTTTTTTTTTTAAATAAACAAGAATTGTGAGAAAGCTTGCAATATTTAAACCATATTACCATTTACATGTTCATGGAAAATGTAATATTTTTTATTTGTCCATATCTCATCTGTCTTCCTCATCAGTCAAGGTAGAAGGGAAATTATTTAGTCTGGCTTAAATTAGTTTTATCTGAAAATTTAATCAGTCCCTGTAAACAGTGTTTAGTGTCCCTTGCAAAGAAAGTTTGCTTCTCATTTCTGTTCCCTTCTCTTCCTCCAAAAGGGAAAGACGGGCATATGTGACATCATGGCAATGGGAATGGTTAGATCTCCAGGTGCGCTGTGGCCCACCTTCTCTGGTTTCTGGGTGATGACTAGGACTACCTGCTCCTATACTCCACCTCTGTTGTAAATCACTGGCATTAGTATCTTGGACAATAACTCGCAAAAGGGTCAGTTCCCTGGCTGTCATGGTCTGGCCTCAGGTCCTGCTGACTGTCCTAGCTTGAAGTCAGCTCTGAGAGGCCCTCTTGTCCTTCACAATAGTCTTCCTGGCAGACCCATTGCCCTTTCCGGGTTGAAGCCCATGTGCCCTGAGAAAGAACAGGATACCAGCCCTCAGGCCTTCCTGGGCCTTCACACTCCACTCTGCTTTGTGAACTGTGATGTGGCTGCACTGGATCAGATGAGCCAGAGCTATTGATATGACCCTCAATTTCTGGTACAATTTGTCACCTCATACCAAGCCCTAGAAAGAGAAACCTACATCTACATGCTTCGTTTTCCTACTCCCTTTCTATCTCTTCCTTTTACAATCCCCAAAATTTTGGGGAAAGAAGGAACAGAATTGTCCTCCTATGTTCTCTTTTTGTCACCCTCCTTTTTTCTGGCAGACTGGAGAATCTTTTCTACTTAGAGAGAATTTGATGATTTGAGTCTTCTGGACCCAGCTCTCTGTATGCTAAAGCAAGGGAGTGCTTCTTTCTTTTTCTTTCTCTTTACTTTTATTTAGTGACAAATCCTAATCTCCTTAAAGAAGATGTATGCTTAAGGTCAAGTAGAAAGAAAATCTTATCCTCAAAAAGCAAATGAGAAAAAATAAAATAACATTTTCTGAGATTTTATATTAACCCTGCCACTTAAGCTTCTACACTTGTTTAGCAGTACTGACTTTTTTTTTTTTTTTGCTATCACTAATATTTCTTTTAAAAAAGAATGTTTCTGTGTAAAATACCTATAGCAACACTTCCCAGCTGTCCAAAATGCAGAAAGTTGCAAAATGCTAACTTCCCATCAAATGTCCTACACTGGACATGTGCACAAAGACAGTGTGGAGCCACTTTCCCATGGCTGAGTTCCAAGTGTGGTTTAGTAAACCTGAACTTCATCTCTGGCCACCTATCTCTCTGAGCCTTGGTCTCCTCACCTGAGGAAAAGGATGGTTTGTTCTGGGTTATTCCTAGAATGCCTCCTTTTATACTCTAAGACTCCAAAATGAAGCATAATGTGTATGAATACAAGTTGAAATAATCTTTTATAATCTGTATTAATAAAATCACTACTAATAGTACATTAAATGTTAAACACAAAGTATGAAATTCTTAGAATGATAGAGATATCATGTAATGAATATATTCTGTAAGGCTTTCTAAAAACACATTCTCATTCTGAAGAGAAGATAATAATGTATCCTTACCAGAATATTATTTGGTGCTTCTTACATGATAGCATTCATTTTGCTATGCCACAATGTTACAGGAAGAGAAAAGGGAATATGTGTAGTGCCTACCTTCTCGGTACCTGAGGAGAATATCCCAGATGCTGCGACGGGAGCAAGGGTCCACCCCACTGGTGGGCTCATCCAGAACCACAGTCTGGGATGTACCACTGAAAGCAATGCCAATGGAAAGCTTCCTCTTCAAGCCTCCAGAGAGGGCTTGGGTTTGCTTGTTCTGATGCTCCATTAACTCCACAGCTTGAAGAGTTCTGAAACAAGATAAGAGCTCTCACTCCTCTTCATGAACATCTTAAATCTGTGCTTCAAATTTCACTCCATGCACAATAAGTTATAGCAACCAAGATCTTTATAAATCATGGATATACAAGAGGCCTACACACACAGTATTGCTCTTCCTGATGTTCAGTTTGGAACCACACCAATGGACTAAGTTCAGTATCTTCCAAGTTATTTACCTGGAAAATACTTCCATTCTCTCCTCTCTAGGGAAGTACTTCTTTTCTTTCACTCATACACCTGCCAAAGGATCCACATCCCCACAAGATAGTATGTAGTACAGTGGAATGGCGATGAACTAGTGTGATCAGAAGAAACAAAAGCTTGAGTCCCACATCCCCTCCACCACTCATGAGAGGATAAATCTGGAGAAATACTCTCTGGGCCACCATGCATTAAGCTTGTACCACCCAAACATGCAGACTGAGTTAATTGAAAGTCCTAGTGAAACGTTGTGTGCAAAGTATTGCAAATAATATATCATGAATGAAAAACAGCTTTTTCATTCTTTTTTGTTAATCTTTCTGTGTAAGAGTGCCAGATTTCAAACACCTTCATTATATGTTTCAGTTCTATGGATCTTTTCTCTTGAATAAGCACTCTACTCTAGCTTCATTCTCGTGTTGACTATCATGGGATATTTAACCCTGTCATAACCTGCTCAAGTCTTATTCATTGCTAAATACTAGTTAAAGATTTCCAGAAAGCTTTCCATGTCTACCTGTGGTGGTTATGTTTGTGTGTCAACTTGGCTGGGCCTGGTTGAGTGGCTGGGTAGCTAGTGGTAGTTATTCCCCATGATGAGACTGGCAATCAACTCCATGGTGGGAACTACCACAAGCAGCTGAGTAGCTGCTTTGAGTATGTGGTCTGCTTCCCATATATAAGAAGCAGCTTTGGGAACAGTCTCTAGCTTATGGCATGCTTGGACCCTGCATGTAGCCATGTCATTGTTCAGCAGCTTCCATGCTCAGCTGACCTTGGGACTTAAAATGGACTTGAGTTAATGGCCTGCCATGTGGTTTGGTAACATCAGGACTGTGCCATTTTATTGTCAACTTTGGGCTTTTTAGCTTCAGCAGCCAGAAGTTGCTGGCGTGAAGAGATGCCTCTAGCTTCAGTGAGCCAGGAGCAAGAGGCAGAGCTGAAGTCCAAATTCAAGGGACTTTCACCCAGTCCCTAGAGCTTGGAACTTGGACTTAAAGCCTCCAAACTGTGAGAGAATAAACTCCTATTTGTTCAAATCATCCTATCTGTGGTGTATTCTTCTCAGAGTGGCACTTGGTAACCAGAACACTATGCAAACCCATATGGATTCCATTCCTGATGAGCAAAGACATTATTTTATCATGTTAATAATCAACAATTCGAGTGATGTCAAACATTTATAGTCAAGGAGAAAGAGGCAACGTAGATGGGGAGGGATTATAAGGGTTCCACAGTTGCACTTCCAGAATAGTTGGGTTCTGGAAAGTTTGGGGATCCTACGGCAAGCATTGGGAGAAATCCCAAGGACTTGCTTGCCTCATCACTAAGTGAATTCTTCATGTTTGCTTCATTAAATTATATACTTCACATCTTGATCCAGAAAGTATTAGAGCTAGCTTCTCAGTGTTTCATTTTCAGCCTATCCATGTAGAGCTAGTCCAAGTGTTATTCTGGATTTTCTGTTAACACAGTGATTTATGTGCTTGCTTTCCAGGCATAGCCATTGTTAACAACTCTCCTGCTGAAAGGAGGAAGACAAATGGTTTTATCAGGAGACTGTCTTGATCCTACAATCCATATTAGACATGGCCACCAACACTTTCCTACCTAAGATGTTTCCAGTAGAGCAGAATAGGTGAATCTATTCAAACTAATTTAGTCACATTAACCTGAGATCAGTCATCAGAACAAACAGACATAAAAACAAATCTGTAAGATGTCAGATGTTCTGGAACATGCATATTCTAATTACATTTGTATATTAATGAAAAACCTTTCCTTTCTTTGTTTCTTCTGTTGATATTACTTGGGACACCTACCAGTGCTTTTTGGGTGGCCCTAACATACTGCCTCATTGCATATATTAATCAGTTTAAGATCCACCACCTTCTATGCCTGGCCATTATGATACAAAATGACTTGTGATCTTATGCCAATGTATTTAGTAAATGTGTATTCCTTACCATACCTCCACTACCCATTTGCCCATCAAGGTAAGAAAAAGGTATCATGCTTCTGTAATCCAATTTATACAAAGAGGATGATGTTTCCTTTCTGTTACATCTTATATAATTGGTTGGCATTAAACTGACAAACTCTCCCACTCTGTACTTTTGCTTCTGTTTTTGGTGGAAATCTGTTTTTCTCAGATGTATTTTGAACATTAAGATATGTATGCAATTTATGGTTAAATTTGCTCTTTTTAAAATTTTTATTTATTTTTATTTGGTGGATAATTATTATTAATTTTATTTTAAATATTAATTTGGTGCATAATAGTGATGGAGATAAAAGGAGTGATGATAAATCTATTTCATTCATACGTATTTCATAGATTCTTTAAAGAATGTGCACAGGGGGTCTACAGCATTGTGGGTGCTTGGAGAGTACTGTGTGCCTGTATAGGTTACAGGGAGAAAGAAGGCATTAAGGAAAACAAAACAGAGGTCCTTTCCCTCAGGAGATAATAATATTGTGGAGAAAGTATGTGTATATATCATATTATAACAAAATGGGATATATTTTACAGAGGAAATACAAACAAAGTGTTTTGGAAAACACAGAGAAGGTTGCTGAGTAATCAGTCTTGGGGAGGTGCAATTTGAACTCAGATATTTTATTCACAGCATAATACAGTAGAATCTAGTTATGGTTTTTGAAGAATATTATTAATTTATTTCCTTTTACATTCCAATCACTGAAAAGGAAAAAAAGGAATGCTTTTTTTTTAAATCACCAAGCCTACATAACAATAATTAAAATTTATTAAACATTATAATATGTCAGATATGCTTTTAAGTGCTCTTTGGGTGTAAAATAATATAATCCACACAACCTTCCAATGAGGGTCTTACAGTTATGTTGTTGTTGTTATTATGTGCCATGGAATCAGACCTGACTCACAGCAACACCTCCTTGGGTTTCTGAGGCAGTATTACTATGGAAGTAGATTGTCCAGACTTCCTACTGAGGAGTGCCTAGTGGGTTTGAACCACCAGCCTCCTGGTTAGCAGTCAAGTGCCTTAGGCACTATGCTACCAGAGCTCCCTTACAGTTAAAAGAATCACATTATATTTGTGAAACCCAAGGTAGATAAAATATGTAGTATAAAAAGCTTTCTAAGCAAATGGTAAAGATGATCCCAAACATTAGCAGTATGATGCCAGAATACACCCTTACCAAAACAATTGGTACCCACTAGGTCTCTGTGACACTTATCACATGCTCCTATGTATCTGCCTCCCCAGATTGACTGGAACTTCCTCAAGGATAAAGTCATTGTCTTATTTTACCTCTTTCCCCAGAATCATGGATAGAGCTTGATGATGATTAGTGCATATGGCACTTTAATCAATGATTTTAATATCCATCAAAGTCACACAAAGGTCAAAAGTTGATCTTTTTCTCTCTGTGGAAAGACACATTCCTAGTATGTTGAGACTCTGTGCTACAAGGCCATTGGGGCATGTCTACAGTTCTACTTTTAGGTCATGGAGAAGATTGAAATGTCCAATTATTTTCATCCTCACTTTGCTTAAAATCATAGTTCTAAGATGCTTAGATAAGACTTTAAAGATAAAAGAAGACAAAACTCACCATAATAGACAAGGAAAAACATTATATAATAATCAAAGGATCAGTTGAACAAGAGAACATAACCATAATAAATACCTATGTACCCAACAAAAGAGCATCAAAATACATAAATCAGACATTAAGAGAATATAAAAGACAAATTAGACATGAGATAAAATCAACAGCTAGAAATCCAAAAGATTAATACTAAATTTTCAGAAATAGATAAAACACTGAAAGGGCAAAAAAGTACAATTGAATCAATGGAAGACAGAAATAATGAAATTGAAGACAAAAAAAAAAAAAAACAGAATACTACTTTAGAAAGGGATCAATCAGAAATAATAATAATAATAAAAAAGATAAAAACAAAATGAAGAAAATCTATGGTTCATGTGGGATAGCATCAAAAGGAATAACCTACATTTCATTGGAATTCCAGAACAGGAAGAGAAAAAGAAAGCCACTGAGAAAATTGTCCAAGATTTGCTGGACAAGAACTTGCATGATATGATGAAAGATGAGAATATATCCATTGAGAAAGTCCAATGAGCCCAAACAGGATAGACCCCAAAAGAAAATCACCAAGACATATCATCATCAAATTCATCAAAATCAAAGACAAAGAAAGAATCCTGAAAGCAGAATGGGAAAAACAAAAAGTTGCTTACAAAGAACAACCAATAAGAATAAGCTCTGATTTCTCAACAAAAACCATGCAAGGAAGTAGGCAATGGGATGGTATATATAAAACCATGAAAGAAAAAAATTTCCAACCAAGAATGATATACCCTGCAAAATTGTTCCTCAAATATGATGGTGAAATTAGGGGATTTCCAGATAGGCAGAAACTAAGGAAATTTGTTAAAACCAAAGTTACAAGAGATACTAAAGGGAGTCCTTTGGACAGAGAACAAATAATACCAAACAACAACTGACCATTAATACACAAGATCACATAACCCAGAAACTGACACAGCTTTGGATGTATCCAAAGTAAAATAAGTGTCCAAGATTGTAAAGAGGGAACCAGAGACATCAATTGGCAAATGAGGACAACCACAAACCAAAAAGAAGAGAAAAATGGTGTAATTTCATAAATGGTGAAGAAGTCAAGAGAGTTGCAAGATAGAATGGACTGTTCTAAACTCAGGGAGAAAATTATAAATTACAGAGTAACCTCAAAGAA